TGGCATAACCTCATTTGCTTATCTTAGGCTTCATTTGGGACGGTTTGCTTAGTGCTTCTTAAAACAACTTTTTAGAACAAAAATTAAATTTTTTTGTAAAAAAAAAAAAACTTTAAGAAGCAGTAAGAAAATTGTTCCAAATGAAATCTTAATTGACCTAAATATTAAAAAAAAAGAATGTTGATGCAAGGCTGTACTCGTATGTTTACCCACTACTAACTACAGTACCACCATTTTGTAGATTCCTCTATGTGAAGGAGCACTCTTTGTTCCATGTTTTATACATCTGCCTAACATAACTGTCTAGTCATTCCATTAAGTCTTTTTGATGTAGACAGACAAATAATATGTAAAGGACGGCATTAATGGATGCCACATAATTCTAGAATAAGGCTTCGTTTGGGACTGCTTTCTTACTGTTTTTTAAAGCGGCTTTTTAGTACAAACATTTTAATTTTTTTACTAAAAAGCCACTTTAAGAAGCAAGAAGAAAGCCGTCCCAAACGAAGCCTAAGTATTCTATTGACACAAAGTTCCGTGAATCTCAGTGCATGGGGGCCTTGGATTTGTCTGGCTAGATTCCACCACAGTGATCTTTTAGGTGCTACGACGTGTTCCTCCCTGTTGGTCTGCCTGCGCTTATTTACATCGATCTCTGAGATTTAGATGACCTCAGTAAAGCTCAACTCCCTTCAAGAGCTAAATCTCTATTAGATTTTGATTAATCTCGCATGATCACGCCTGCCCTGGCGGGCTCAGTCTATTTACTTTGTTAGTAAGTTGATTCGAAACTTTGCAAGCTACCTTCTGAAAAGCATTTAAGCGAAGGGTTTTTGGGCATTAGCCAAATCTTACTTATTATTTTTGGAGTTGCCTCGAATTTGATATTTTCCTTCTTTGCTCATGGTCTTGACTGTCGTACGCTTTGCATATATGTCGGTGAGAGAGGAACAGCAAGAACAAAGAAAATCAAGAGAGAAAGAGAAAAGAAGGGATGCCATAGGCTGAGAGGAGGAAAAAAAAAAAGACTTCACTATTCAGGGAAATGTACAGAAGCTATTAAATAGAGTTTACAAAGGTAAAGAAGTAAATATAAAATAGACAAAGGAAGTAATTATGCTAATAGCCTCCCGCAAATTAGGCATTCGAATATCGAATGGTTAATTTGCTTCGAAGTTCATTGAACCGCGTAGTTGAGAATGGCTTTGTTAGTATGTCCGTGATTTGATCCTTCGAGGAGATGTGAGTAAGCTTGATGTCGCCTGAATTCATGTGTTGTCGAATGAAGTGGTAGTTGATCTCAATGTGTTTTGTTCTAGCTTGGAATACGGGATTCATTGCAATTGCCATAGAGGGTGTGTTGTCACAATGGATCGTGGTTGGAGATTGCTGTGGAAGTTGTAGCTCGGCAGCTAGGCGGCAAAGCCAGATAACTTCTGATGTGGCCGCTGATAATGATCTATATTCCGCTTTTGGTGGATGATTTTGCATCAATTACTTGCTTCTTGATGGTCCAGGAGATGAGATTCAGGCCTAGGAATTGTGCTGGTGAGCTTTTGGAACCATTGTCGAGGCACTTGCTTTAAGCCGTAGAGAGATTTGTGAAGTTTGAAAATGGTTTTTGGATGGAGCAGGTCTATGAATCCTGGTGGTTGGCGCATATATATGTATGGCAGAATAGATTGCGAGATAGTTGAGAAAAGTGCAGAGAGGAGATTACTGTCAATGGCATGCCAGCGGGTGTACTTGATGGAAGCGAAGCCGGAAGGAGACATGATGGTGCCAGTGAGATGGCGGGCGTAGCTGTTGGCGGTGAATTGTTGTAGAATTTGCATTCGCCATATGGGGTAGTTCTCCGATGTGAGGGGATAAGGGGCAAGGTTCTTGATATTGGAGATAAGGAATTTTAGAGGTTGAGGTATGGAAATGGTGGTGGTAGAGTTGTCAGTTTGGGTGGAGGAGGAGGGAGGGATGGAATTGACAGAATCTTGATCTCCCATGTTGGCTCTTACCATGAGAGAGGAACAGCAAGAACATAGGAAACCAAGAGAGAAAGAGAAAAGACGGGATGTCAGAGGCTGAGAGGAGAAAGTAAAAGACTTCACTATTCAGGGAAATGTACATAAGGTATTAAATAGAGTTTACAAAGGTAAAGAAGTAAATATAAAATAGACAGAGGAAGTAATTATGCTAATAGTTGGAGGTTCAAGAGGGAAACGCCCCCTGGTGGGGTTTGACCTATTTTTGCCCTATAAATATGTTGTGAGGGTATTTTTGTAATTCAACTTATTTTTTGGTGCCTTATTTTTTCCCTGTAAATATGTTGTAAAGAGATTTGGATTTGTAAGTCTTTTTGTAGGGAATGATTTGTATTTTCAAACATCTAAGGCAACATGCTTATATGTAATTGTATTATGAGTTTAGAGTGTAATCTCTATTTTAATCAAAAGTTTTCTCTTTGGAGATGTAATATACTGTAGAGGCTTGGCTCTATAGAAACCCAAGATCCCAATATAAAATAAATCCTCTTTTAGCTCACTAAATGAGGGAAAAAATCTCTAGACATCGATCAAGCTTATCGTAAGTATATTTTATATTTAAAATGATAGGTGGATACAACTTTTAGCCTTGGGGATAACTTCAACATTCCCTATGTTGAGTTTGAATACCAAAATAAATATTTTCTTTTCTCAAATCGATAATACAATGTTAATTTATCTTTTGGGGTAATTAACACTAATTATGTGGATTTGTCCAAAAAATATTAAATAGCAAATTGAGTGGCGACATTCATACATTTAATTTGTCCACAAGCGTAGTGCCACAACCCTCCAAACCCAATATCGTGACACTGCGAGTTGACATGGGTTGTTTTTTTTTTTCTCGTTTTTCATATTTAACTTGAAGGGTTTCATCCCGTGGGGAGGTTAATGTGTCACTTTCTCAGTTATGTATGAGAACGATGAAAAAAGCAAAGAGAAATAATGAGAGAGTGAGAGAGAAAATGATTTGTATAATTTCTCTCTATTTTCACATTGCATTTCTTAGTGTGGTGTGCATGGCTTTGTGGTTTTTTCTCGATTTTGAATTTTCCCATGTTAAATCTCGAATTTCTACTTTTTCCATTGATTTCTTTTTCTTGTTTGTGCTAATTGCATGATTTAACTTTCCAAAAATAGAAAAAAAGCATATATTGAGTGGAAGATTATAAAGATGTTCATAGAAATACATGCCATATCTCATAGCATATGTTAGTGCTAGATCATATCATTGCAACATTCAAAGAAAAAAATCTCTTCATACTTAAGATAAAATGTTAGTTGCACTATTAGTCTCATTTGTAGCATGTAATAAACATGTTTCAAAGTTCCTTGTAGGCATTATTCAAGCATAATTTAGGGCTTAATGAAGTGGTGTGGTGCTCAACCCTTAAGTGCTTTAGGAACTTTAGGAGCTTAGTTTCGAGATGAGCCATAGCGGATATTCAAAATTATGTTGCTGAATTATTGTTTCAAGGCAATATTTATACGATTTTGACATAATAATTTATCAACATAAGTAAAAAAATTTCAACAAGCAATTTTCAGGATAAACTATTTAGGATTTAGTTGAGGTTAGGAAAGAATAATAATGAAGGGAATTTAAGAAAGGAGTGAAAGAAAGAAAAAAAGGAAAGAGAAAGAAACAGAAAAGGATGTCTTATTTTCATGATGTATTTTATTGATACTATAAAAGTATGATTATGCTACAAATACTATAATGATTTCATAAAAGTAGGCATAAAAGTATCCCTTTAAGAAGCTTTCAAGTGGAGAATTATTTCTTCCTTCAAATAAACAAAAATGTAGAGCATCTCTACTATTAGATAGATAAATCTTTTTTTAATCCCTCTTATATTGTTCTCTCTTTTATTTATTATGAGGGATTTGAGATATTGCATTTGTGATGAGATTGAGTGTATCTGGGTTTGGAATAGCATTCGCTTATGCCACGTGCTTTTATTTGCACAAATATGTCACTTTCTTTTTTATGTGATGATTGGATTCATTTTCTTTTTCCGTTACTTGGGCTTATTTTAACGGACAAATTTTTGAAGTAAAAATGGTTAAACCTTTTTTACGTTTAAAACTAGTAATGCCGGTCACTGCTTTAGCAAATTACGACTGGCTATGATCGAGCAGGTGACTAGGCCCAGAAAAATATAAAACAATCAGGATGAATAAAATAATTGGAAAGAATATATAAAAAAACTAATAAAAAATAAAAGTGACAAAAGAAATAAACAGAAAAATAGTGTAATACCCTAACCCAAAAAAAAAAAAAGAATAACGGAAAAAAACAATAAAAAAGAATAAACATAATAAAAAACAAAAAATGAAAAAAATAAATAAATAAAAAGTTTTCACCCAACGACTGGCTTTTTTTTCCTCTATTTTATTAGTTTTTTTTTTTCATTTTTTCAGTTGTTCTTTTTTTCCATTATATATTCATTTCGGTTTTTTTTTTCATTTTATATTTGTTCTGTTAAAAAAAAAAGCTACGGTCCAGTCGTTAGATCTCGTTGTTATTACTGTTTTCATCTAAACATTTTTCCTTAAGTACTTATGAAAAAAAATTGATATTTTCCTTCAAATTAAGCCATGAAGATCTTTGTTTTTGTGCTCCAACTGCTAAAGGGCTCATCACACCACTAAAAAGATCGATCTTTCCAGTTGGAATATATGACTTGTAAGCTAAAAGAACACATTTTATACCGAGTCCTGTCCAAACGTTGCCGGGCCAACTCATTGCAAGGAGACTTCAGGTGCTAAGTCAGTAGGAAGGGTTCGTTTGGGACGATTTTCTTACTGCTTCTTAAATCAGCTTTTTAGTACAAAAATAAAAAAATTTGTACTAAAAACTGCTTAAAGAAGCAGTAAGAAAGCCGTTCCAAATGAAATCTTAGGCTTCGTTAGGACGGCTTTCTCTCTGCTTCTTAAAGCAGCTTTCTAGTAGAAAAATATTAATTTTGATATAAAAAACTGTTTTAAAAAATAATAATAAAGCCATCCGAAACTAGGCCGAAGACATTCGGTGGATGGAAATTAAAAAACTACATTTTTTTATTCATTTGGTTCGATTCTCTTAAAATTGCTTCTCGTAAAGTAAAGCTCATTGATCACCATAAATAGCCGCCTGGCCGTTTAGTAGCCTTCAAGAGCGTAGAGGTTGAGAGGCCTCATGGTGATTAAAATGGATGAAAGGCAAAGACTAATATTAAAACCTATCTTGGTGATGTTAGCTTCTAGCATCGTATCCGCTGTCATGATTGTGCTGAACAAGAAGGTTTTGGAAGATGGATTGGACGTGCTTGTTCTAATTACCTACCGCCTTCTTGTGGCTGTTCTCTTCATTGCTCCAATTGCTTTCTTCTTTGAAAGGTTCATAAATATTCATAGTACCGTTATTGTAGATGTTGAAGCATTAATGGAGATTGACTTGTTTGAGCTTCCATGAAAACTCATGCAGAAAGAGCAGACCTAAACTTTCCTTTGGGATTCTAATATGCCTTTTTGTCAGCGCAATTCTTGGGTAAGTAATTTACTTTTTTTCTTTCGTTTTGGCTATATTTTCCAAATAAAGTTTGCCACTGAAGAAAGTCGTGTCTTCTCAGGAACTCGCTGACCCAGTATCTCTTCTACCTGGGATTGAAGTTCACTTCTGCAACTTATGCTGCTGCTTTCTTCAACATGACCCCCGTCATCACCTTCCTTCTCTCCATAGTCTTCCGGTCTCTCTCTCTCTCTCTCTTAGGCCTTCTCCAACCGAACTCCAAACACATGAATGGAGCTAGTCACTCGCAAGCTCCAGCCAAACGGTAAAACTTCCGGTATTTGGTTGCGGGTGAACAGTGCGATGCCAATATTGGTGTTTCACTGTTCACCTGTGTTATATTTCTATCTCTACCGGATTTGGGAAGACGCGCGAAAGAGAGAAAGATAGTTACCTTGAGGAAAATGGAGTTCGATTGGAGATGAATCACGTCATTTTTTTAGTTTTAGTACATTTTGGAATGAAAAATGGGATTTTCGGTTGGATATGCCCTCTATCTATATATGTTTACACACACGGACATTACTTTTCTTTCCTGTAATTTCCTGCAGCACCAGTAGAACATGCAGAGAAATTGATTTACTGATGAATAAGTACTGCAACATTTCATTGCAGGCAGGAGACTTCGAACTTCAGAAGCTGGGCTGGTCTGGCGAAGGCAGTAGGGACGGCGGTGAACCTTGGTGGTGGGATGATGCTGACGTTTTACAAAGGGATGGTGTTAACTAAATCATCAATGGCGGACGGGCTGGGCCAACATAATCGATTGGCTTCGGCGTCTATGCATGGGAGCAAGAGATCGACGTTGGGATCACTTGCTTTGCTTCTGGGTTGCTTCTTGTGGGCTCTGTGGTTTCCTCTTCAATCGAGGATTGTAAGGAGATACCGGGCTCTCTATACTGCTACTGCCATTGTTTTCTTCTTCAGCTTTCTCCAGACTGCACTCATCAGCTTCTCAATACAGAAAGGCCTTTCTCTTTGGATTCTACGGTCCAAGTTTCAGATCTTTACTGTAGTCTATGGGGTATGAAGCTTTCACATATACGATGCATAGTATCAAACATCATGTGCATATATTCTAACTCTGCCAGTTTAATTGTTATTGAATCCTTGGGAACTGTGCTAATCTTTTGTAAATGAAAGTAGTTTGTTTCTTAAGGGCATCTCCAACTCCAAAATCTTGAATGGTGTTGCTCGTGAGCTCCAGCTGAACGGTAAAACTTCCGCTATTTGGTTGCGGTGAACAGTGGGACGTCAATATTATTGTTATACTATTCATCTTCGCTATTTTTCTGTCTCTATCGAACTTCCCGAAGAAACGCGCGAAAGAATAGAAATACCGTTACCTTCGCAAAAATGGGCAAAATGGAGTTCGATTGGAGATTGAATCACGGCATTTTTTAGTTTCACGACATTTTGGAGTGAAAAATGAAAAATGAAATTTTTGATTGGAGATGATCTTATTTGTTATACTTGGGAATTGATCAGAATGGGTGTTAAAGTTGCTGAATTTCCTTTCTCATTAGTGCAATATTTATGTAATCAGGAGTCAACCAAAAAATTGATGCCCTGAGAATTTTTTTTTAATCTAAATGCAGCAATGATTATGACAAATCCATAAGATTGTTGGAATCCAATACACTTTATGCTACTAAAAAAAGAACGGTGCTCATTCCTCATAAAAGTTAGTGTTCTAATTCTCATATGGTGCAGGGCATTGTTGGCTCTGGCTTGTCCTTCTTGGCGAGCTCATGGTGCGTGGAGAAGAGGGGTCCAGTTTTTGCGATAGCATTTTTCCCAGTCACACAAGTTGCAGTGGCCATCATTGATGTCTCCTTACTACATGAACAACTTCACCTTGGGAGGTAACTTTCTTCCACTTTAACCCAATTTAACAATCTTTGTATGTTTTTTTGTCAAGTGAGATTACGTAATCTAATTAAAAAAATAAATAAAGAGATTAGAATTTTGAAATTTAATCTGAATTACTCTATTTATATGTGCAGAAGATAATCTTATATAATATATGAAGAATGGGCGTTAAGGATAATGATTTGATAATGTATTCAGTTTATATGGATTAAGTCTTTGATTTCGTAATTATCATTTGATTGTTGCTTAAATCAGTAATCGATTGAGGAATTAAATATGTTAGGAATGATGATTAAATGATTGCTTGCACTGAAAATTACATTAATGATGATTAATTAGTATGCTTAAAAACTAATTAATATTTGGGATCTCATAGTAAGATGATTAATTAGGATAATTATGTATTGGAAGTGCGAATTAGGGACGAATTTTTTTTTTTGGAGAAAACTCATGGCGGGACCTACACGTTAATAATAAAAAAGTACACGTCTTTAGAGGATCAGAAGATTGTTAGAAGAACAACATTTGAAAATAAAACCTAAGAGATTTAGATCATACCTAATTCATTAAAATAAAATTCAAAGCAAAGCAAAGGATAAGCTTAAAATCAAATAAGGAAATAGCAACAACACCAATGACAGCATCCAAAATGGTATCCAAACAAACAGCCAAGCGACCCAACGAACAACCACCACCAAGAGCAACCCAAGTGATCCAAATCAAATCCAAGTAAAGAAAAGAACCAACCGTCAAACAACACGAAGCAGAAAAAAAAAAAGAGGATAGGAGCACTTATCCCATAACCAAAACAACCGACCAGCAAAATCCACAACCAGCTCAACAAGAGGCAACCAACAGCAAAAACCACTAGTTAAACAAAATTGCACCCACACAACCAAACAACAAAAGACTACTTTCTAAATTTTCTCCTATGATATTTACTGGCACGAGAAAAAGCTTTCTCTACCATCTGACAAACATCTACACCATACCAATCATGAAAAGACTCATCCTGCTCATCACCTAAGTCAATACCCACCTCACCAGGCGATGATGAAGATCTATCAAGCCAAGCTGAATGCCCAACACAAGTAACCGCCAAATTAGAAGCAAAAAAAGTATTCAAATCGCTAGTGAACATAACAACAATAGGCACCTCAACAAGATCCTCATTACCCAGAGAACCCCATAGTTGCAGGCGAAACAGGCACATCCCCAATAGTCCCCACAATGGGATAAGTCGGCTCATTTATAGGTTCAGGAGAAACCTTAACCTAGACATCCAGTTGACAAGAAACCCTTTTTCGCCTCACCATCCTCCTCCACCTCAACATGAGACAAAGCCATAGAACAAACCCCCACATCACCAAAGTAACTTAAATTCACACCCTCCACCGCCTAAGTATTCACAATCGGTGAAATAAAACCACCAACACTATGAAATATGACATCACCTGATTCCTTAGCTAAAACGGGCATAATCTCATGCCTCCCCTCATTAAGCAAAGGAGAAATAACGTCAACATTCTCATGAATACAAATCAAATCTTGATTCACCACCGTATCATCATGAACCACCTCAACCGAGTCAATTGTAGGAATAACAGAAACATCGGCCATAGTCCCCTCTTAGACAGGAAGAACAACACCCAACTTCGGAAATAAGATAGGACAACCATCCTTGGAATGACCCAATGTTTTACAATGAAAGCAATACGAGAGAGATTCTTCCATTTCAACCGACTGAATGTAACCCATAGACTTGAAACCAAGCCAAACTTGAGAAGTATATTGTTTAGTAACATCTAATTCAATAAGTATGTGGGCTACATAAGGTCTGGTACCATTAGTTGTCGCATTATCTGTTCTCAAAGGTCTACTAAATAGTGACCCAAATCCATGAACTATGCGGGGGGGAGAAAAAATGAGGGCGCAAACTGGGGAAACAAACCCAAATTGGAACTATAGGAGACTCAACATTTATATCAAAATGGTGAGTCCATTTTAAAAGCTTCATGAAGCAATTGCTAACGAAGTATGAACGGTGAGAAAAACCCCTACAATAATCTAATTCATTAACTAGTTTGATTAACAAATTTTTAGGGTTCAAAATAGTAACCGAGAAGTCGCCACATAGCTTTAGGTTAAAGAAGAATTTGCGAATTGTATCAAGATGCGGGCATTGACCCGGAAACTTCCCCACCAAAGAAAACTCAAAGGGAGCTGCAAGTGAAAGAAATTCCTCTTCCGAAATCAATAATGCTGGCAAACCATGATGGGAAGACACTTTTAAGCGGAGGAAAATCTGGCGAAGCCGACTCACCCAATAAAATATCTCTAAAAGACCTAGATTTAAGCTTCCCATCTAAAAACCCAGGTTCTCTTAATCAATTTGCAGCCATGCGGAAGAAAATCGCAATAATTGAAGGATTAAGGGAAGAAATTTACCGAATCGAAGCAGCAGCTGGAAGCGGAAGCCCTAGACATCTCGCTTGCAATTTACAACAATTAGGGATGAACTAATTATTAGGGTGTTCAATGTCTTATTAGGTAAGATAAATATGTAGATTACTTGGGCTAACTAATTAAGCCGTGATTAGCAATTAGGATGTTAATTTATTAGATAGTTAATCTAATTGTAGTTTATCTAATAACAAAAAAAGAATTATGCTAATTTGAGTAATTTCGAACTGACTAATTATTTATTGATTAATTAATGGGCTAACGTATTTTGCTTTGATAAGTGATTGTTTTATAAAGAGCTCATTAATTATGTTTAAGATTATAAGATAAATTTAGGTAATCAATTAGGGTTATGGCGAGCAAGAGAGAGGTTGAGCGCAGTTAAATTGAATTAAACTATTCTTATGAACTAAGCTAGTACAAGTTAGATTTTTTTTTTTTTTGGGACATTTAGGTCATTTAAGGCAAACTCACACACACAACGCATACACATAGACTCGAACCTTGGACCTCTTAGTTGGAAGCCTAAGCTCTCAACCAATAGGCCAAGGAGAGTTGTGTGGACAAGTTAGATTTAACTTGCCTTCTTTTATCCAAAACGCCAAAATATTGTTTGAAGCCGAAGAGCTGTGAAATAAAGAAATTTGGTTGTTTCGTTGGAATTCGAGAGATTCCTGAAGTATTTCAAATACCAGAGTTTTAAAAATATTTGTATTTGACTTGAGATAAGAAAAATAAAATAAAAAACAATTTTTGTATGTTTAAAATTCATTCTCTACTTTAATTTTGGTATATTTAAAGATTGTTAGATTTGATTGATATCCAATTACATTATAAATTCTCTGTCATAGTTATCGCCAGCGGCCGATTGCCTTTGATTGTAATCGCTACCACCCATCATGCACGTCGCATGTCACTTACCTCCGACTACTACCATCACATCTTGTTGCCATCAGGGTTGGTTGTGGCTACTATTACAGTCTATCATCGCTATTGCTTATTACCTATCATCATTATTAAATTTTACATTGTATTCATTATATATATTAGTAATCATATATATTTATTTTATATTAATACAAATAATTCTAAATATTTTAAATATATTTTTTATATTATATTTTATTTTACTCTGCAAATTCTTTTTTATTCAATCAAACGTCACTAGATTGACTTAGGGGTGTCAATTTTGGGTCAGGGATCGGGATCGGGTCGAATCCGGAACTGATCTGTCACTATTCAGGTCAACTCAAACATGACCCGTTCTAGGAAATAGGTCAGTTTTTCGAACCCGGACCTGACCTGCTTCGGATTTGGGTCAACTCAACCCGACTCACGAACACGGCAAACAGCGGGTCAGCGCGCTTCCGGTTTAGGCCAGCAACAACGGCGGGCCAGCGGCTAGCTGTAGCGTGGCGGGTAGCGGGGACGCAACATGATGCCCGATGGCTCATGGGACAGTGGTGCATGTACACGACGTGATGCGGGAGTCTCATCTCGGGACGCGACACGAGCCTGCGCGCAAGCTTGTTAGCTCGGGCATCATTCTGGGTCATTTTCAGGTTTTTTGGTTAACCCGAACCCGATCCGATTTTACAAATGGTTTGAAATCCCGAATCCAACCCGGTTCATGTTCGGATTCAAGTCGGGTTGACACGCCCCTAGATTGACTATGTGATGTCCACATAGATGTGCAACCATTTAGCAAGTGGGCCACGTCCGTCAATTTGGATTGGGCATTTGGGCATCTTACCTGCACCCGATCGAGTCCACTCTATTGTGGCCAACTGGTCATGATCACTCCTTTACCTAATTTAAGCAACCAATAGGGACTAAGCCTGACTCTAGCTAGGTTTGAGATTGAAGTATAAACAAATATTACCCCAAAAAACAGTATATATTTTGTAGTAATATAAATTTGATTAGTTCGACTGATTTTGTCTAAGTATGCCAGGAAGGAACTCCGACATTAACTCATAGCTTGAAAGAACGAGGAATATGTAAAATCAGTACAGAATATTTCCTGCTCGCATTGGATTTCTTCTTCTTCCACAAATTCTACAGAAGTAACAAGATAACTAAATTATTGCCAACAAGAGCCATAGATCTAATTTAAGGGGCTGTTTGGTTGCAAGTAACTCTAGTGTAAAATAAATAAAATGTACAACTTTTAAAATTTAGTTGTTTCGTTGAACAAAAAATTAAATATAGAGCAAATTCAATGTATTTAGAATTCACCATTTAGTTTATTTTTAATGTATTTAAAATTTATTCTATTTTGATGAATTTCAAATACATTGCCTATGTGAAGCAGAGCCAATTGTCACCACTCAACGCCAATGCCTACCACCCACCACCATCGCGTGGTTCATCTATTGTCGCCAGTTGCCCATTCCATCCATCGTCTCACATCTACTATCATTGTGGCTTGCCATACCTGCTCACTGTTGTTGGTTGCTTCTTGTCACTGTTTTCGCCACTGGTTGTTATTGGTCTCTCAGCAGCCATCTTCGTAGACGCTTGTTGCCACCGTTTTAATTTATTTTTAAAAATAAGAAAAACAAAAACAACTAAACAATATAAATCAAATATGATTTTTTAAATTTTTTTTTTTTTTTGGGACATTTAGGCCATTTAAGGCAAACTCACACACACAACGCATACACAAAGACTCGAACCTTGGACCTCTTAATTGGAAGCCTAAGCTCTCAACCAATAGGCCAAGGAGAGTTGTGTGATTTTTTAAATTCAAAACAAAAAGTGATTTCAAAGTGCTCCTTAGCTTTTAACTCTAAATCTCTAATTCAAATGTATATATATTTAAAAAGTTTTTTTTTTTTTTTTTAAGTAACAAAAAAATAATAGCCAAACAAAATTAGGACGGAGATCAGAAAAATAAAATAGAAAGAAAGTTTTCACAATCGACCCTAAATTTGCTGACACACTGATAACTACTTGTTTTCGAAATGCAGCCTTCTGGGGTCTATTGTTATAATATCTGGCCTTTATATTCTTCTATGGGGAAAAAGCAAAGAGGCATCGGATTCTGGCTCTCTATCAAAGTCCAGTGAAACAAGAACAATTAACCTTGAAGCTTCATCTACAGCTCCTTAACTAGGCCTTGCTTGTGCGGCTTAATTTACTTATCATGCGCTATTTGATGCTTATATTTGCTATATGTAGTATTGTCAGCTTATTTTTGCAAGTTTGAACATTTTCTCTTGTTTTCTTCTAAGTGGTGAGTGCTATCGTATGTCGCCTTGAAGCATTGCTTCTCTCCTCAATGAGGACCTCATCAATGTAACTTTTTTTTTTTTTTGAAGGGTGTAAAAGAAGAGATTTTTAGTAAATTTATGTGGCTATGATTTAGTAAGGAAAATTTGTTGGGTGGCATATTAGTAAATATAAATTATTTATAATATGATGAGGATCAAATTAGATGTATTGAAGAAGGTGGTAAAATATTGATTAAAATTTATGATATATTAAAAGATGAAGAATGTTGTTTTTATAAATTATGGACTCAGTGTTTTAATGAAAATGCTATTTTTGAAGGGTATTTTGAATAAAATAATAAATATAAATGGATGAAAAGTGAAATTCTCAAGTTTGTCTAAGGTTTTGTTTGAGACGGCTTTCTTAATGCTTATTAAAACAACTTTTTAGTATAAAAATTTTATTTTTTATACTAAAAAGATGTTTTAAGAAGCAGTAAAAAAGCCGTCTCTAACGAAAATTCTGCTACCGAACAACCCTAAATGTGATAAGTGATTAAAGCCGTAGCATGTGTGCACTACGATACTATCTTTAGATGTAAATATTATTGTATTATTTATGCAGAATATAGTTTTTTTAACTTGGATATGTTAAAGCACTGTTAATTAAAATATTTTACTTTATAGTTCCACGGACTTAATTACTAGAAGAACTTGAACGTGGGAGAAGGGAATCGGAGATGGAACGCTGAGCTATGTTATGGATGATGGAGATGACATATACATGCGCCCCTGGACAGGCACAATAATTGGACCTCGTAATGTATAAATGGTTTACTTTGAGCTAGGGCTGCAAGCAAATCAAATGTTCGACAAGTTACTCGTTGTTTGGTTCGATTAAAACCCATTTGTGATCGTTTAATTAACTAAACAAACAAATTTGAACAATAAATACTCGATTCTTAAATAAACAAATTTGAACACTAATGTGTTCGGCTCATTTATGTCAGCGAACAATATCATTTGAAGTTTGTGAACAAGCTCGACATTAAGCTCGATAAGAAGCTCGATAAAAGCTCGATTCGTGTTCGATTTTGAACTCGTGAATAAGCTCGATACAAATATTTAATATTTGACTATTGAATTAATAAATATAAATAATCATTGTCTTTGTTACATAGACAATTGCTTTTATTATAAATGTGTTTATTCATAGATATGTTCATGAACTTGTTTGGTTGATAGTTAAAAAAAAAATTCTTTAAATATGTTCGCGAACAAGCTCGATAAGCACTAAACGAACAAATATGAACTGAACATGAACCGAACATGAACACTCATTAATTTAAAAGAATCAAACATGAGCACTGATACATCGTCAAAAAATTATCTTGATCGGGCACGAATCTCAATGCAAAATGGAGTCGGAAACTTCAAAAATTAAATCTGGGAGCTCCCGAACTCCGATTTCAGCGAACTTATAGTCAAACTGAGCGTCTCTGAAATACGAACCTAACGACACCAAATTCAACTCGATCCGAGCCCAAATGCGTCTAAATCGAAGACTCGAAGTGCTGTTGGAAGGTTTGAATCACAATTTGAGTTACCAAACGGTCTCCGATTTTAAAGAGCTTATACTCGAATCGAACGGCTCAACGAGACGAATCCAACGAGCCCAAGATCACCGAATTCCAAAATCACTAAGGCCTCTAAATGCCTGATGAACGGTCCATGATCAAGGGGTTCAATATCGGCCGTCCATCCAACCACTCCCCATTTACCCTTGATCTCTCGCCTATTTACGGGGCATGCCACTCCAGAAAATTTATAAATAGACCCCTCATTTCTCTTGAAAGAGACCCCCAAGGAAGAAGATAAGAGGAGAAGAGAAGGAAGAAGAGAAGGAAGAAGCTCCTCCTCGACCACCGCCGAAACCTCGCCGGACCACCGCTGGAGCCTCGTCGGAACACCGCCGGAGCCTCGCCGGACCACCGCATGAGCCTCGCCGAACCACCGCCGGAGCTTCGTCGGACCACCACATGAGGCCCTCAACCTTGCCGGACCACCGCGGAGCCTCGCCGGACCATCGCCGGAGCCTCGTCGGACCACCACCTGAGGCCTTCACCTTCGCCAAAGGCCCTCACCAACACCTGAGGCCCTCACCTTCACCAAAGGCCCTCACCTTTGCCAGAGGCCCTCACCAACATCTGAGGCCCTCATCTTCGCCAAAGGCCCTCACCAACACCTGAGGCCCTCACCTTCACCAAAGGCCCTCACCTTTGCCAGAGGCCCTCACCAACACCTGAGGCCCTCACCTTCCCTAAAGGCCTTCACCTTTGCCAGAGGCCCTCACCAACACCTGAGGCCCTCACCTTTGCCAGAGGCCCTCACCATCGCCAAAGGCCCTCATCTTTGCTAGAGGCCCTCACCTTTGCCAGAGGCCCTCACCTTCGTCGGATCACCGCCGAAGGCCCTCACCTCCGTCGGACCACCGCCTGATGTCGTTGCTCCTCCGAACAGCCACTTGAGACCCTGTGCTTAACCAGAACACCACCTAAGGCCAAAACTTTGCTGGGCCACTGCCTGACGCCTAGAGTTCTACCAGAGTACCACCCTACTACAACGGTCTTTCAGACCCCGGTCTCCTGCCGACTACGGTCCTCCCGACCTCCGTCGCCTACTATGATCTTTCCGACCTCCATCCTATCGACTATGGTCGTGCTGATAAAATAAATACATCTATTGTAACTCCCACCATGTAATACACTCTATATGATGTATATTTGTGACATCAAGCCAAGGCCTTCTCCCTAAGAAGGCCTCATTTGTAATTGACTACAAATACTAGTAGATTCATTCAAACTGGGCTAGGCCCCGTGGTTTTTCCCTCTTTTCAGGGGTTTTCCACGTAAAAACTCTGGTGTTTCTTATGAACGCTACACTCTCTCACTTATCTGATTGTGTGCTGGATCTTCGTATAATGCTAAGACATTAAACTATATATTTCTCTACCGCCGCGAATATTCCAGGACGCAACAAGCACAAACAATAAAGCTCGAACAAACATGAACCAAACTTGAATAAGCTGATATTAAATGAACACAAACATGAACACTCACATACTCGGCTCGATTCGTTTGCAGCCCTACTTTGAGCTGTGCAATATTAGTTTTTTCTCTTTTTTTCTTCTTTTGAAATAGTTTTTTTTCCTCTTTAGTCTGCTCACGAGGGGCAAATCTATCAGCTAAAGTTGTTCTGTGACAAGGACTACCCTGAGAACCCTCCTAGCGTCCGTTTCCACTCTCGAATAAATATGACTTGTGTTAATGCTGAGACTGGAGTGGTAAAAGATAGCTTTTTTCTTTTATCGTTGGAGTTTTATTTGCAAGGTGAGTTCAGTTAAACCTGAAATAAATCTTTGTTTTGTCAGATGTTAATAGTACTAATATTGAGATTCTAAACTCCTATAACTCATCATGATTTGTTGGCTGAAAGTTTTGACTATCAAACAAAAGGTCTTGAGTTCGAGTCTTAATTAGCCTAAATGTCCAATTTTTTTTTCTAAACCCTAAATACTAAATCCTAAACTCTAAAACCCTAAGACATAAATCCCAAAAACCTTATCACTACTAACATTGTTGTTCCCTTGGAAAATATCAAATTTGTATTTGATTTGGCTCTTGTATCAAATAGGGGTGTCAATTTTGGATCACGGGTCGGGTTCGGGTCGAATCCGAAACTGACCCGATACTATTCGGGTCAACCCGAACCTGACCCGCTACGGGTCTAGGTCAACTTGACATGACCCAAATGATCCGGGGCCAACAAAAAATTGCTAGTTTTCGAGTCCAAAAACGGGTTAGTCTCCATTTTTCGGGTCAAAATGGGCCAATCTCTGTTTGTCGGGTCAAAATGGGTTTTCGAGTCAAAACGGGTCAATTTCATGTCAAAGGGTTAACTCGACCTGATTTTTGAAACTGGTCGAATTGTTGAACCCGAACCCAACCTATTTCGGGCTTGAGTTGACCCTAACTCGAAATTTTTGGATCGGATTCAAGTCGGATTTTTAGGTCGTGTCAAACATTAACACCCCTAGTATCAATGATTTGTTCCTTAGGTGACTATTTTAATACAATATATGAGATAAAAGCATATTCTTAAACAAATCAAAAACCAATACCATTTTAATTGCAAAACATAAACAAGAGACATTATTTAATTAGTTCCTTCAAGGTAGCATTCTCAATTTCTAAACAATCTCAGGCTTCAAAGAATTTACAAATTTATGTATTTATTGTTTTGCAGTTGGAGTCAAAGAAGTCTGGCATTCTGGCTAATTGGCAAAGAGAGAATACGATGGAGGACATATTGACTCAATTGAAGAAGGAAATGGCTGCTTCCCATAATCGAAAAGAAGGGGCGAAGATGTTGAGATGGAATTTCTCAAAGAAGGCCGTCTATAGGAGTGATATTGTAAAGGTTAAAAGTAGTTCACCATAACTATTGTGATGGAATTTTAATGGAGAGGGTGTGGTAGGTGATAATTTTGATATTATTTAAAAATGTTAGAGGAGTGAATTAGTGAATATGAAATTTTTGATGTTAAATATATAAATAGATTAATTATGAGTGTAGTATATGTAAATTCCTTTTCTTAACACTGTTGGGGCATCTCCAACCGAAATATCATTTTTCACTCTAAAATGTTGTGAAACTAAAAAATGTCGTGATTCATCTCAAATCGAACTCCATTTTTGCCCCGTAATGGTCGTTCTCTTCTTTCGCGCGCTTCTTCGGCAAGTTCGATTGAGACCAAAAAATGGCGCAGATGAACAGTACGTGCAACGTCAATATTGGTGTCGAACTGTTCATCCGACATGAAATGACGTAAGAATTGTCGCTTGGTTGGAATGATAGAAGAACGACAAACAGTTATTTGCCTTTCCATTAGAGTTGCTCTTAGTTGAAAGCTCAAAAAGCTCATATGCTGACTATACAAAGAAACGTAAAAAGTTGATGGATTTATGATAAATTACTTCAAAAGTGACTTTCTGTGCGAGAGCTATCCAAGATTGGAGGAAGGAAGTGGAACTTTTCATCGTTTCGGGCACTGTAGAAGATTTTAGAGATTTGGTGTTTTGAGAAAGCAGCATTGCATGGTGACTCCTTCCTGATCCTTTGGACATTGATGGTGATGGCTGAAATAAAAAAAGGAAGTGTTGCTAGAATCTCCTTCATCATCCTTTGTACCTTAATATCCTACAGGTTTTTCTCTTTTTAGCCTCATTGAGCCCTAGGGGCATCTATGATCCCCTGTTTTTTCTATCTAAAAAAACAGCAAACAGAACATATGGTCTTGGTCGGAGGAAAAATATATTAGGTGCCAAGTCTAGGAGAAATTATTGTGTGCGGAATTCGAATGCATTCGGATTACAATCACCCCATACCACGTCACCGGATGCACTCCGGGGCCCAGTGCGCCCAGTGCATCAAATGACGTAGCGCATGGTCATTGGAATCCGAATGCATTCCGATTCCGCACACAATGATTTCTCTAAGTTTGGATGGTTTTTTATCTCTTATACATAGCGTGTGCACAAGGAGAAATTATTGTGTGCGGAATCCGAATGCATTCGGTTCCAATCACCGCATGCCACGTCACCGGATGCATTCCGGAGCCCAGTGCATCCAATGATGTGACGCATGGTGATTGGAATCCAAATATATTCCGATTCCGCACACAATAATTTCTCGTGCACAAGAGAGAAATTACGCGTGTATTTTTGTTATGCTAGTCCTGACAAAAAGCTGCATCCAGATTACGCACTTAGTAATCTCTCACCTCTGAGGGTCTGTACAGCTACATCTATAATTAAAAAAAAAAAAGGGGATAATAGTTCTCTTAAAACTATCAAAAAATTATTTTTAATGTAAATTTCTTTGAAGGGCAGAAATGAAAAAACAGTAAGCAAAATAGCGGAGAAAGCTAAAAAAAATTATGCCCATTTAAAACTTCATTTGAAACAGCTTTCTTATTATTCTCTAAATCAAAATTTTTAACACATTTATTAAGTAAATTAAGTGCTATAAAATTAATAATATACATGATTATATACAAACTAAAGAGAAATGTATAATAAATGTGTAGGTTACGATAAAGTGGATAGAGGCTTAATCTGACTTGATTTAACTTGAATCGAATGGACTTAACTTGCATTAGATTTTCCAGCCAAGTAAAAAAAAATTAACAACAAACAAATTATTAGTTAATGATATCCCAATTTTTTTCACCAAGTTAAACAAATTATAGTAATTTTTACTGAAGGTTATTCTCTGTTGTTTGGATCTGAAAAATTGGCCAAGTTATTTTATATTAAAAACTCTGCAGAAGCGAAGTATCTATTTTCTTAGAGAGGAGACAAAAGGATCACTATATATTTTAAAAACGTTGACCATAGAGTAGATAAAAGAGCTCTCACAAATGTAGATAACCCTTATGATGCTTAATAGTTTTTGTTAAATTTGCTTCTTTTTTTTTTAAAAAGGTGAGAGAATTATAGATTTGATCTTTAACAACTAAGCTACCCACCTGCTTCTGCAACTAAATTCTTTCTCATGACATAAAAAGAAAAAAAAAAGCACATCAATGGCTATTATTTTAAAAGTTTATTTTTGGGCGAGGCCAATTAAGACAACTTATACACACATCACATACTCAAGACTCAACTCAAAATCGTTTGGTTGGTAGCCAAAACTCCCGACCAACAAATTCATGAGATCTCTATATTATTTCGAAAGTGAACTATCACAAAATCAGAAGGAAATTGCTCCTTAAAGCATGTCGGGTGAAGCTCAGCCAATAACATCTTCTTAGGCTTCATTTGGGACGGTTTTTTTGTTGTTTCTTAAAGCAGCTTTCGAGTACCAAAATTTTAACTTTTGTACTAAGAAGCTGTTTTAAACAGCAATAAAAAAGTCATCCCAAACGAAGCCTAAGTTTCAACAATGCTTCTCCTAAACATCAAATCAACATATTTTCATCATATGATCTTATATATAACCTATTGAATAAGTAGGAGCTCATGGAGTTGATGGGCCAATAATACTTCTTTTATTGATATACATATTAGAGACCAATGATCTTGAAAATGTGATGATCATTTCTCATTAAGTGTTAATTTACAGACGCAATCATATAAATAAATTTTAAAACACCTCACATCTCAAATCTTTCTCTTTCAGGACTGAATCCTTCAAACATTTTTGCTGTCATAGAATTTCAACACCGCTTAGACATTGATATTTCTTCCCTTCCATTTTACGCCTCAAAGAAAACCAACCATAGAGACTATAGATCTTCCTAAACACATTAAAAAGAATTAAAATACAAATTCCTCCATAGATCATCACCTTATGGATTGGATTTTCATGTGGAATGAAAATCATAAGATAAACCGAATCAGCCGCTACTGATACCCAACCAACAACTTCCAACAGCAGCTTGATCACCATTGTGAATCTCTCTTCCCCTGAGATCCTGGATAGCATTCTTGAACACAGAGCAGTAATAATGAACAAAGTTGTCTTAGAACATCCCCTATATGTTACTAATCTCCCTCCGACCACCAAATCTTCTTTACGGCACACGCAGGAAGGGCACTCACCTGAGAAAATGGACCTCGAAATAGCATCCAGTCCTGTGTAGTAAGGCAGAATGATTGAATCCAAATACAAACTTGCATGGAGAATACCAGAAACCGTTGAAGCTTCCAGTACTGCATACCTTATACTTCTCTGATCAGTTTTGTTCTCAAATGACAGAGCTGAAACATGAATAAGAAGAAGGATTGAAGGCCCCAATTGTGAGAGTGGAAACACAGTATTGATCCTTTGTCCATTGGCAAGTATTAGAAGCATTACAGGCAGCATTATAGGACCTGAAGGCAAGAAGTACCTTCTCTTCAAGTTTCTTCTGCCAAAACTTTCACCATTGCTTTTGAATGCTAATGCTGTGAAGGCTGCAGCAGAAAGGAAGGAAACAGCCATGGCGGCGAGCACCGACAGATCGATTATCGGAGGAAAGTTGCCAGCATAGGAACTGTCACAGAAGTAGTGGAAGGGGCAATTGAGATGATCAATTGTCTCTTCTACTTGCCATCTTGTACACTTGAAGAACATTGTTGTGATGTTTTTTGTGAGCCATTCTTGAAGAATTCCAGTTTCCTCAGCTATGAAAGGCAAGTCATCCATCATACAGAGATGCTGCTTCTCTTCTTTGGCTTTCCAATCATTTTGAGTGGTTACTGAACTGTAGCTATAAGTTGTTATACCATCCTTAGATATTGTATTGTTGGTTGGAATGGTGTTGTAGCTTGTCATTGGTGACCTAGATGGAGAGGGAGGGTCTAACTGATATCCCCATATTGAAGAGTGGTAGTTTGTCTATAATGCCCCTCTACCTTGATGAAAATGACAGTTCTCTATCCATGGAGAAGAGTTGCTGTCATTGCTGGTAAGTTGAGTGATTAACAAATTCTAGTCAGCTTGTTTTGCAAGGTAAGCAGATGAAGAATCTTTAAATATTATTATTGTTTGTAGCTTTTAGTAGCAGTTTGAGGGTTTGGGTTTGTTTAGTGGAGGGAATATGTTGGCTTTCACCTATTTTTTGTTGGTTTGCTAATGCTGTTAGATACATAATCCTTAAATATTCTGCTGAAAAAAAATAGCTTGATAAGGATATTATGGCCCTTTTTTATATATATTTTTCATCTATACTTGGCCTTGGGTCTTTCTGAGATAAAAAAAATTTATGAGATAAATTAATCAAATAAGATTAAATTTATGATATAGTCTTGCATTACTCGGAAAAAAAAAATCTAAATATTCACATTTATTTATGATTTTTCATCCAATATTCCGACTAAAAATGATATTTCATGTTTAAAGTTATACTTTTTTTATAAAATTATGATTATTATTTTTGTGATTATAAAATTTTACTAAAATATTTATTTTTAATCACACATTATTCATAATTAATTACTTTAAAATTTTAACTAAGGTTTATTTTAAGTGTATTTTGAAAAAATCATAATAAATAATATTTTCTAACAATAATTGCAATACAACACAATTATAATTTAAGATTCTAGTAGCCGTTGGAGTGCAAGAAATACCATCTTGCCAACTTACCTAGTTTTGATTTCACTTGAAGCATTGTGCTAATTAGAGTGCTCTTTAATTAGTCGTTAGCATTTAGACTTCGTTTGAGACGGTTTTTTTACTTCTTAAAGCAACTTTTGAGTACAAAATTAAAAGTTTTGTAGTTAAAAAATGCTTTAAGAAGCAGTAAAAAAAATTGTCCCAAACGAAACCTTAATTACATTTATTTCATTTAGGTTTGCCTATCTCATAGTACAAACTATAATTATTATGAATTTATGATTGGTGGGTCTCCATTACTGAAATTTTTTCCATTTTTATGCTTTCGTTTGCTAATTTGGTTTACAAAGGGGCTTATTTGACAATGTGTTGTTTAAGCAATAACTGATAAAGAAAGTCATGAAGCCTTTTGTCTGCCTATTCTTTCATTTGAAGTGAATGAGGGATGGGCTTTGTTAATAAGTACTGAATGGAGGTTGTATGGAATGAGAACTGTACCATTGCCTTTATGCAGACTGATGATCAGTAATGTAAATTTCTTTTGTGAACAAATGTCATTTGTCAATTGTTATGGGAGAAAATTAAAGTTTTCTCTAAGTATAATGTGACCTATTAATGTAAGTTTCTTTTATGGTGCAAGTTTCATTAATATATTAGGCTAAATTTTGGTCATAATAATGCATCTTCTAATATCTCCCTCTCCATGATACCATCAAAATTTGACAATAGAGTTGAAGCACCTCACATTGAGTGTTTTTTTTTTTTGTAAGGCTTGGTTTGAGATAGCTTTCTTCATATGATAATTTATGATTTCTATTTGTTCATTGCTTCTTCATTGCTTTTAAAAAAATTTGTGCAAAGAAGATGCTTTCAACAACAATTTTAAAAAGTTACTTTTTCAACAGTAATTTTATAAAACAGTAAGAAAGTTGTGCCAAATGAAGCCTAATTCTTTTGGAATTAGGGATGCTTCATGCATTATATAAGTAGAACAGTTAATTAAAGTTTCATATAAGCTTGAGAATCCTGTGGATGAATAAAGTTTCATTTGTAATAGTTTTTTTATTGCTTTCAAAAACATGTTTTTAATGCAATAGAAAAAATAGTGATTAAAAGCTTTTCCAAACAAAACATAATCTTAAGAGATTGTGCATTACTCATGATGTTAGAGGAGTTGCATGTGGGCCATGTGATAACAAGGCATGCCTCTTTTTGTTTCTTTCATGGATGAATGAAAAATAATATAGGTTTTAATGAGAGATATTGATGTCAGTGCTGAAACTATTGAATATTGACATAAATAAATAAAGGAAGAGAAAAATAGTGATCATTATAGGTGAAAACATACCTTTTGGGTTTGTTGAGATCATTCATTCAGCTATAAATTCCAACTCATCAAAAATCATTTATTGTTTAAAAAAAAAAGATTTTGACTAGGATTTGAATTACAAGTTTAGATGGATGGGCATAACCTTTTAATGATTTATGGCATGGAGTTTTTTTTTTTTTTAATGCAATTTTTCTTTTAGTCAAAGAAGAAATGAGACATACAAAGCAAGACCAAAAAAAGGCCAGAACAAGAAAAGGGCATAGCCAAAACATTATAATAATCGACAAAATGCAAAGCGGTATGAAAATAAAAGGAAAAAGAAAATCCTTGAAGGAAGCCGGACTAAGAAAGGACACCAAGTTGCCAGGCTTGGACTATCATTGGAGGTAAAGCAGACAACCGCTAGAAGTCCCAAGTACATAAAGGCCACAAAAAATTGAGCTAAAGACCACCAAAAACTAGGCAGGGATACAACCACCAAGGTTGCCAAATAAACCAGAGCCATGAAGGGACGTGCAGGTAACCAACCTCATCATTATCCTAATCCGAAAAGTCGACTAGCCAAGAGACATCATAGCATATAGCAACCAAAATACCCACAGCTAATAAAACTCCAAAAAAAACCCAAGCAGCCACTTAAAAAAATTTTACACAGTTGTAACCCCCAAAGCACCAAATTTACTATCTTTTGTGTTTGCATCGACGCCTTTTCCACTAAGCGATTCACATTCAAATTAAACATATCATTGAAATCTTCATCATGCCCATCTAACTCATCCCCTTCACCCCCACTAGGTGAGGAGAAGGAATCATCAATCCTATCGGTTTGAGACACATAAGCATCATTTATATTCAAACGAGCTTTTAACTCTTCATTAGTAATAATAGTCACAAAAAAATTGACGACATAAATAGAAGGTAATGAAGATTCGCCAGAAGCATCAATCTTAACACTAGTAGACTCATTCAAACACGAGACTCATTCAAACCTTGCGTGTTAACATTACAAAACTCCAAATTAACCCCATTCACATCCTAAGAGGTAGGACATAATGGGTCCTTCACTAAACCAGTTGGGGACTCTTGTTCAAGACAAACCAAACCTTTACCAAGAACAACACATTAATTCTTAGAATTAAAAGCACGAGGCTCCAAAATCTCCAAATCACTGGCACTCAGAATCACTAGGAAAACAGGGGTCAAAACTAAATTCCCACCCAAAACCAAAGGAAGCTCAACATTATCAACAACACCGAATTCCCCACTCTCAAGCAAGACATTATCGCCTACAATGCCTTGAATATCTAAAGAAGGTCGGACCTCTACATTGAATGGAGGGGGTTTAATAGTAGGAGTCAATTTGAGATGTGGATGCAAAATACGACAATCCTCTTTTGAATGGCCTAATGAATTGCAATGCACATAATAAGCAGGGAATTCTTCCATTATCACCGACTGGATGTAACCAAAGTTATCGGAACCAACCAAAATTTTATCATGATATTTTTTTGAAAACATCCAACTCCATAATGATGTGAGCAACAGACGGACGAGAACCAAAAGAAGTTGCATTATCTGTTTTTAAAGTCGGACCAAACAGGGAACCCAAAACATAGAGTATACGCGGAGAGAAAAGGTGAGGCCGCAGATTAGGAAATGAAGTCCAAATAGGAATGATATGAGATTCAACCTCAATATCCAAATAAGGCGTTCATTTAACTAATTTCAAAAAACAGTTACTTACAAAGTAGGAACGATGAGCAAAAACCCTACAGTAATTCAAATCGTTAAAAATCTTGATTAAAACATTCCCAGGGTTTAGAACAGTAACCGAACAATCACCATTTAATTTCATATTGAATTTTTTTTTTACAATAGCATCAATGGAAGGCCTTCAACCTGAAGATTTGCCAACTAATGCGGAATATCAACTAACTAAATGGAATGGAGTGATGGTATATTTCCATTGGAACTAGGGTTGCAAATCAATTAGTATATTCAATGAATTTTAAGCTGGTTTATTGTGTTTATTTAGATACTTAAATAAGTTTAATTTAAGTTTAAAAAATTAACTTACAAATGAATAAATTTTAGCATTAATCCCTCCATTCTTTCGTGAATATATTTAATTTTTATTTAACGAAATATGATGAAAGGTTTAGTTAATAATACTCACTACAATAATTTTAAGTATTTGTCGTAAGCTTTGCGACCGACGGCTCAGTTTTAATTCTTCATTTCTTTTATTTCATTATATTAGCCTCTTTGTAAATATGAGGAACCCATCAACGAGGGATGAATTGGTGTTCTGACTACCAATTAAGAGATATTAGATTTGATATTTATTATGTGATGTATGTGTGAATTTGTCTTTATTGACCTAAAATGCCCCAAAAAACCAAAAAAAAAATTTAGCTGCTATTTAATACTTTGGGATTGGTAGCTGTCACAAATAAATGCCTGGAACACGAAATTGCTGAGCTTTTTGGCAACAATTTTTTAGCCACATATTTTTGTCATATGACATATTTGCAGCCAAATTGTTTGCTGCAAAATATGTTCAGCACCTTTGCAACATTATTTGACAAGAGAGACGGTCAAAAAATGTATGTTGCGGCCAGGTTTGCAATAACTTTTCTATTTCTCCTTGTTGCGGACTAGAATGTACGCGGCGGTAGAGTGAAAAATATAACGCCTTATTAATATACGTACATCCAGCAC